AACTGCCTCCATTAATCTTTCAAATGTGGCCGGGGCATTACATAAACCAAAGGGCATAACTGTGAACTGCCAAAGCCCTGATCCTATCGAGAATGCGGTTTTCTCACGATCAGCTGGCTCCATGTCTACTTGCCAATATCCACTTTTCAGATCGAGTGTGGAAAACCAACGAGAACCAGAAAGTGTATCCAAAGTATCGTCTATTCTCGGCAAAGGATAACTATCTTTTTTAGTTACCGCATTGAGCTGTCGGTAGTCAATACAAAAACGTGTTGAACCATCTTTCTTCTTTACTAGCACTACTGGTGATGTCCATGGACTGTTCGATGGTTCAATTACCCTTTGTTTGTTCATATCTTTGATGATGTCTTCGGCTTCATCTCTTTTCGCAAATGGAAGTCGTCTAGGTTGTTGTCTGATTGGCTGAGCGTCTCCGGTATTAATTCCATGCTTTACTATGCTTGTTTTGCCATTATCCTTCTTATCAATGGCGAAAACATCTTGAAATTCTATCAGCATAGACTTCACTTTTTTAGTTCTTTCATCATCAAGATCTTGACATGTTTTAATCATCGTCTTACCAAGCTCCTTTGGATACTTAGATATCGACGGTTTCTCATTAGTATTCATGGAACAAATCGAAGCCACGGGAACGCACTGTCCGATGAAAGTTCTTTTACTTAACTTAATATCAGTTCCTTTTAAATTCATAACTGTTACAGGAACGACATCTCGAATTCTCACCAAAGCTTTTGCCGTTAGGAACTCGGCATTGTTCACATCTTCGACCATCCTTAAACTTCCCTCTCGGCAGTAACCATCAGGTCTGGTCATTAAAATTTTCTCACTATTACCGGGTATCGTTACGTCACAAGTAGTTATTAAGCTGATAACATCTTCTTTGTCTTCATGAAACGGCAACTCTTCACCACTGATCTCGAGAACTCCATCTTTGACATTCAATACAGCCCCAACTTTCCGTAGTAAATCCATCCCCAATATGAACTCGTCGGAGATCTTTGCAATTAATACTCGATGTTTCACTGTGGTCTGGCCAATGGATACTGACATATTAGCCTCGCCATATGTATTAATTATCTCACCAGTTGCTGTTCTAAGCTTTACTGTTGCAGGCGATAATTTAAAATGGTTTCGTACTACTTCTAGCCGTGCTATAGTTCTCGTTGCACCTGTATCTACCAAAAACGATCTACATTTATTATTAATACGACCCTCTATGTACAAGCTATGAATTCCACCGGAGGACGTAATGTTCACAGTTACTATGGGGGCTGTGTTTCTCGAGGTCGGCAGTTGCCCCTTGGTGTCGACCCGTTCTAGTTTTCCGACTGTTGTATCATTTTCTTGCAGTTACGGCGAATGTGACCTACATCACCACAATTCCAACATCTGGGCTCGCGTCTCTTCGGCATCGTGTTACGAAATACTTTTCGTACCATTTCTTTCAGACGTTCATCGTTTGGTTCGTCGCCTTTTTCAATGGTTCTTACTCGATGGCTCCATGAAGTTTGACTAGCTGTTTCATGTTCCAAAGCAATAGCGAGCGCTTCATCTAGAACTTTCGGTCTTGCTAGTCGTAAAGCTTTCTGTAATTCACTTTCTTTTAACCCATTGACGAAGGTATCTACAGCTATTTCTTCCAAAATGTTGTCTGGTACCTCCGAATAAGCCAACCGCACTATACGAGCAACATCTGCTTCAAACTCTTGCAAATTTTCACTTGCTCGTTGAACTCTACTTCTTAGTTGCGCCTTGTAGACTTGTTGTAGATGGGCATCTCCGTAACGTTTATCTAGTCGAGTGAACAAGGTCTGGTAACTTTTTTCTTGGCCCTTAGGAATCGATCTTAGGATATCCGCAGCATCACCTCGTAAAGCAGCAGTCAAGGAAACAGCCTTTTCTTGTTCTGTCCAATGATTAGCTGTCGCAATAGCTTCAAATTGTCTAAGATATATGGACCAAGAGGACTTTCCATCAAATGGTGACAATTTGAATCTCATATGATGTGTCATTTCGTCTCTAGGTGATTCTTCTTTCACTATTGGTTCTAACTGTGTTAACTGGTGGTAGCATTTTTGTGTTAGTTATCATGCTCTCTAACTGTTTGATCTTCTCTTCTACTTTTTCGAATGTTTTGGAAACTTCTTCAAATTTCTCATTATTCTTTTTCGAAGTTTCTTCCATCATTTGAGAAACATTTTCAAATTTCTCGTCGAATCTTTTTGACACATTTTCGAGTTTCTTTTGGAAACAGTCTCGAATTTATCATCATTTTTTTTAGAACTCTCTTCGATCATTTGTGAGACATTCTCAAATTTTCCATCAATTATTTTAGTTAAAACGGCTTCTTCTGCTGACTGGAACTGGAAGGTCTCTGGGTCGTCTCCATTCTTGTTGAGAACAGTCTTCAGTCGTTCTTGGAGTATCTTCTTGGACCTGCTGCAGTCTTCATCACGTTCTTCTAGTTGCTCACGCAACTGCTTCACTGAAAGTTCTACTACCAGCATCTTTGATCAGGCACACACGTACTTTTGTGCGTTTGTGCGTTTTGACGAACAATACTTTTCAAAAGTTCAAAAGTCTTTTTTTTTAAGTCAGTGCTGCATTTATTTTCAAATCCCACACCTGACACCAACTGTAGCGAGATTAAATAAAACGAGCGGTTCGAATTTATACAGTTCGGTAATATCTTAACAACCAAAGTACTCCTAAGGTCGTTACATATATATACCTAAGTTACTATGTTCTAGAAAGTTCCCACCTCTAATTCGTGCACTTGATCGATTGTTCTCTTGCCTTCGAGAGATCTGGTGATGATTCTGGAAGCCGTTTCGAGATGCAACCGTTATATGAGTCATGCCGAAAGCATGTTCGTAATAATACTTACTCCGTTAAATTTTTACTCTAAACTAAATACACAATAAAGATGTACTAGGAATAAACAAACCAATACATTAAAAATGTTACGAGTTACGAGGAGCACTCACAAATCATGATTTTAATGATGTATAAACGAACATAACTACCTCATAAACTATACTAACAGACATCGTAACATAAGGTATCGGCGACTTAGTAATTAACAGCATACCTAGTCTAGTCGTCAGAGAGTTGACCCCTAAAAATTATACGAACAAGCTGAATTTCGCAGAAAATATTCATTTTGGGACCTCAAAAAAGATGCAACAATTTACCACTTTTACCCATGAGCTTCCCTCTCAAACATCCCTTGCAGGGGGGTAAAAACGCAAAAAAATCCATTTACCAAGAATCTCTACATCGTAGAAAAAAATGTTCTATATAAAAAATGTAGTTGAGATGATTTTAAACAAAAATGTTTATAAACATTTTTTAATATTGTTCTGAAGCTATTTTCTTGCGGCATTGTAAATTAATTACTATATAACTGGGAATAAGCCACAATTAAAGATAAAAATACGCGTATTAACGTTTGGAAATCGTTCTCAAAATACAAACAGTAAATTAATACAAACATTTTTTTGTGTAGAATGAACCGTTCTCCTAGAAACAACGCTTGTAGTGACCGTCGATTTTGCATGCCAATGCCGCGCGCGAAATCAATGTTCAATAAAATTTGTATCAGCTTGACGGTAAAAATTCAATATCTTTTTTGATCCAAATGTCCTATCGACAAAAATCAAGATGTATTGTAAAGGAAAAGAGTACAACTTTTGTATGTAATTTTTGAATGTTGCCCAGAATAAATTGTTTTTAGAAAAGTGTTAAATAAATTAACGTATCGCAATTTTTGCCATTTTTTATGATTCTTGTGAGATCAATAAAATTGATCACGTTCATTGACCAGTTGTAGTAAAATTTTCATTTTTAGAGATCAATCTTCAAAACATATGACATGAAATTTTAATTTTGAGTTGTGGTAACAAATATGAGGGATTTGAAACATGAATAAAAAACGCCGAATGTTCAGAATACTCTGAACCACTCCTTCTTCTTTCATTCATTTGCTTAGCCTTAGCTGCCAGGATTGAACCACACCTATTTTAAGATACCTGCCAGATGTCGCCTGTCAATGTCAGAAACCAATCTTTTAATCCTTAGACAAGGAAAGAGAGAGGACGGGTAACGCTCGTTCAACCAACCTTCAAAAAGTGAAGCCACTTTTCGATGTTCCCGTCATGTTTTTGGTGGCGAACAATAGATGTGACACCAGTTTTGTTTTTGTGGTTTTAAAAAAAAAAGTGAATTAAACACCGATTTTTTTTACTTAACAAAATGGTGAATTGTGCGTATATTATTTGTAAAATTTGCAGCGAGCAGAAAACACAAGGAATATCGTTTCATAGGTAAATATTTATAATAGTGCAATTAGGTATTAATTGATTTTACTTTTTATTTTAATTTTAAACCTCAAAACGAATTTAAATTGGTATTTTAAGGAAATGTGAGATCTAAATCAGTAAATAAGAATGCTAAATATGCATAGTTATAAATTTCGTTAATTTTGATTCCAACATATTTGTATAAAATAAAATAAATTAAATAAAACATTTAATGTACAAAAATGTTTAATTTTAAATACAAATTAGTCAATCCTTAAAAATACAAAGATACGCCACTGACCACTTCCATTGGTGGCAGTTTGGCTTCACTTTTAGCGATACGGTTACGCGTCCTCTCACTTTCCTTGTCTAAGTCTTAATCCATGTTAAACTTTTTAAAAAAGTGTAATGTTAGACCGACAAACCTAGGAAATAAATAAGTTTCTATTTAAATATTCACGGTCAGGAAATAACATAATATAATATACATAATTAAGCGAAGCCTACTCTGTATAAATCGCAGTAAAAAGTATTGCATACTCTAAAAGAGTTCACTTCAATTTTTATTCTCTATTTGCTTTTTCAATACTGGCAAAACTTGCAAAATTTGCTTTTTCTGGACGCAACCAATTCAATTGTCATTTGTCAGTGTCACAGTCACGTCACAGCAACGAGCAACTGCAGTCTGTGAGTGACAGATAAAACACAAGTGTAAATAAAGAAAATATCTAGGTTGGAAATTATTTTTAAATGATAATTATATCTACAATAATTAGTGTCATTAGTGCAAACTAAAGAATTTTAAACATTGATTTTAAAATTATTTCGTGCATCGTCTTCCTACAAATCGGTTGTGGAAAACAAACTTTTCACTAAAGAGTGAAGAAGGTAAAAATGGCCGAGGATTCAAATCTACCTACATCAGAAAATTTAAATACAAAAAATGGAAATTTCATATGTGGGGTAGTGGAAGGTATGATTCCATTAATATTTTAAAAAACTAAACCAATAGTTTTCTATGTATATTTAATGAAATTTTCGGCTTACATCTGTTTCACAAACTTTTGCTGATATTATAGGGTCATTGCTCTAGTTACTTGATAGAAGGAATGATTATTTACAAATTTTGATACCAAGCCCTTAAATTAGACATGAGGCTTCAGACAATTATCAATGTAAAATGTTGTTAGACACACTTTGTCTAGAATAGTGTGTAAATATTATGTTGATGTATTTAGAATTTTTCATATTTGTTTTACATTGTTTTTTGTTTCTTAGGATTCTATGGTAGACCATGGACAACTGAACAAAGAAAGGACCTTTTTCAAAAGTAAGTATGTTTTAAATGAAATCTCAGATTGATTTCTTGGGATTGATTATTATTTATAGCCTTGGAAACAAATCAAGGGACAATGAGATATTAATGTCTAGTCAATATAACTAATTTTAGTTTTAACACTTTATTCTATCTAATACTAGAGTAAAATTGTTGTAGAGGTCCCGTCATTTCGGAAGGCATTGAATTTGCATATATTATGATTCATGTCAAAATTGTATAAGAACAGCCTTTGAAGTTCGTGATTGGTTACTGAAAATTTAACTAAACGGCAGTTACACGCACTATTTACTAGATACAGCTGAAACATATTATACTGAATAAAGGCGATTTTTTAGTTTTTAATAATTTTGAACATACAGCAAACATTTGAAAAATGATCAGTAAGATATTTGATGGAACAAAAACAATAATACCTTCATAATACGTTTTACCTGAACAAACAAACTATTTTTATTGTACAAAAGAATTATTAAGTTCTAAATATTGATAAGTTTAACAAAATGGATTTTTAAAATAGCAATTAATTGTCAAGCATATTTTTCAAAATATCAAATACCAATACAATACTAAAATATTAAAGAGTGAGGATAATTATATGCCAATGAACAGTCCCAATTACATGTACCTAGAACTTCTACCTGATTTAATTCTTTTCTTGGAAGCCTTTTAGTGATATAATAAAGTCATGTAAACATAAATATTCCTGTCTTTGGGAAATGCCTAATTTCATGGACCTACCTGATTTAAGATGTTTCTTGGAAATATGTATTAGCGATTTAATAAAGACTACCGTCAAAACTTACAGATATATAATTAACTTTATATACATACCTTTAAAAATTCATATATACCTAATGTGAATGTTTCAAAGAAGAACGACGAGATCTCATTTAATTTTCTTTTTCCGAAGAACACACTCAATGTCACTATTGTCACTTCCTAAGTTCATTATAATGGGATTAATATCTTCTTGGCAGTCTATTTGGACCTTGGATGTTAAATAACTGTCTTCTATTTTAATTGAATGATGACATCGTTTTCTCCACTCATCTGGGGTTATTTTGGAAACTCGTTTTTCCAACAGGTGTCTCATATCATCAGATTTGAAAGTTATGTTGTTTCATACCTTTTGAAACGATTTTTATGGTACTTAATCAATGCATACAATTCGGGTTTAAAACTTTGAGGATTAAATGTTATATTGTTTTTAATCAGCCAATCAATCATATAATTTTTTTTTGCAATTAATATTAGGCATAGGATTCACTTGTACCGAATGGTATGACTCATTATAGCAAACAACTACTCAGTTAGGGGATAAATTTGGAATTAGTTTTTCCTTTAGCCATTTGCTGTAATTTGTGGCATTTATTTCTAAGTGGTAGTCACCGGATTTACTACCAGACTTAAATATTAAAAGCGCGTTTGGAATAAATCTCATTTCACCACCAGCATGCACTATTATTAAACGTTGATCCTTCGAAATGTTCATCAGTAACCCTTTACTAGAATTATCATTCCAAGTTTTCGACAAAGTATGTCCACTGTGTACATATGTCTCATTGAGGTCAACAATGGGTCTGTTTTCGTTTCTATAATATTTGATAAGTATTAAGTATTTGATTATCTAAGCCCTTATTTCCATGCTGTCAACCAATAATTTTCTGTTACCCTGTGCTCTCCTCCAACAGAAATTCATATTTCGAAGAATTCTTCATAGCGAGGCTTCTGATACTTTAATATCCAAATCTCTCTCAATTTTGTTCTTTTTCTTCTCTCAATTTATTAACAGTAACACAACAAATTTCTGTTCTATGAAAATCGTGTATTATACGCTGAATATCTATAATTTGATATTCTGGTAAATCTGTCACAGGTGACTTTCGTAAAGGTCTCTTTAAAGAAAATTCAACTTTGTTTTTATTATCTAGAGACCGTTTGCTCTCTTGTAGTATTCTGGATACGGCCCATACAGAAATGCCTATAACGACGTAAATATAATCAGTGTATAAGCAAAATGAAAGATGCAGTAAGAGAAGATCTGGAGAAAATGGGAGTGAGACAATAGGAAATAGTGGCACAGGACCGACAAACATGGAAGGCAATAATAAACACGGCAAATACTCACAAAGAGTTGTAACGCCATTGATAATGATGATGATGACGTAAATAATAATTCAAAATGATTGATATGTTGCAGGAATAATTCTTCAAATTTTAAACAGACAACATAAAGAAACAAAAAAGTACATTGAGAAGTAACTCAAAGCGATACTAGAAAATTAAAAAAAATAATAAATAAGAGCTTTCTACGAAAACAAGAGCCTATGAATTCTTTCTCCACATATGAAAAATGATGACGATCCATTACTAAATGAACTAGCTAGGGGAATAATGACAATTTTGCAAAATTCTTTTACAGTAAATTTGGTTATTAGTTTACAAAAAAATATGGTAAATAAAAATGAAGTAGTAATGGAAACACACTATGGAATTGTAGATGATGACATAGTAATAGTAATACCTACAGACCAAGAAGTAGTTAACAAAATAACGAAGTAAACATAGTAATAGCTACAAATAACGACTGTAACGAAAGTGCAGAGAATAAGATATTTAGGACACATTGAAGGAATGAAAAAGAAATATGTTGAAAATGGTATTATCAACACACAATACACAAGAGAAGCGAAGGTAGGCAAAATGGGGTACAAGAACAGAGTATAAAAGATTGACAAATAAGTAACATTGAGAACCAAAAAATAAAAAGTGTTAGGACATTGAATTTGAATATCAAAATGTCATTCAAGATTTACGACGTCAGAACCCCACAGCGTTGCCAAAACATCAGCATAATAATTAGTAAATGAGGAATTTTTAAAATGTCAACTATTTGTCAAACTATGTGTTATATTAACAGTGAATACACTTAGTTTTAAGACTACTGCAACACACTAAAATACATAAGAAAACATTATAATACAAAATTATATATTCTAAATTTTAAACTTACCTCTTTTAGGTAAGTAGGTTTTAGGCCCCTTTTAGGGCTTTAATAGTAAAAACGTCCCGTCATTATTTCTGGTTTAAAAGCTATCTTGTATGAAAGCTTATCAGCTTTCTACAGACTATTTAGTTGTTTTGGCATAGCACAATCATAATACACAACAATAATTAGTTTTTAAAGCTATTAATCTAAATTTAATATGTATTTATAAATACAATTTATTAATATATAGTATATTATGATCAAAATGTGTAAGCAAACAAAACATAAACAAAATTCTTATTCTAAAAAAGCGGCAACACTTTAAACAATTTTGCCACACGCTGAACTGTCAATAAAATTTGAAGTATCCCGAATCAGTTGCGTACAATTGTCTAATATATTTAATTAAAATTATTATTTTGTGGAATGTTAGACTTAAAGAGTTATTTCATAAAATTTATATTTTTAATGTTTTTTTTTAATAACAAATGTTTTTGGTTATTTAATCAATATAATTCTAAAATTTCCAATATAATGAATATATTTTTCTGATTATTACACCATGTTGACACCTATGAAAGATCAAGCAATTCTGTATGGGTTTCATATTATTAGCTGTGTTAGGAAAATTTGAACTCTAAGGTTGACATTCTGGAAATTTTAAATATAAGTGAAGTCACTTTATATAAATTGTGGCGAGCAAGCATTTTTACACGAAAAATGCTATATCTACATGATCTTAGACAGTTACACTGGAGCTCCTAAGTAAATGTCACTTATTGTCAACATTGCTTAGTAAACATTAAAAGGAGTTAATATGCACAAGTATAAAGAATATGCTAACAAGAAACCAGAAGAATTTTTTGTGTCTGACAATAATATTTTGTTCCATATATTCCATATAAGGATTTCCAAATTTTTTTACTTCTATTATGAACAAGATGTTGTAATTAAGTAACTTTTTTATATTGTCATTCAACCGAGGATTTTTTATTCACGCCATAGGTATCACTTTTAGGTCTGCCAAATTGATAATTTAAATGCACATTAAACATCTTCTAATAAAAAGTGTATTTCACACCAGAATCTGAGTGTTTTTTTTTTAAAGGCAGGTAGTAGATCTGGATAATACACATATCTATTTTAGCATTCAGATAGGAAAACTCTTTTTAAATCGAGCCATAAGTAAGTAGTTATGGGAAATCCTTCTGTGTCTATCTTTCGATGCAAGTATCTGAATCAAAAAGTATTATCTCTACAAAGCACCCTATAACATTTTTAATTACAAAGTTAAAAGCACAACATTAGCATTATTTATTACTTTTCTTACATGTATTCAATTTTTTTTTGTTTGTCAAATTATATCTGTAATCTAGAAATTATTTTTGATTATTATATTTTACAGAATGAAGAAATGGGGAATGAATTCATATGTATATGCACCAAAAGATGACTATAAACATCGAGCATATTGGAGAGAGCTGTATACAGTAGAAGAAGCAGAACATTTAACAGGGCTTATACAGGCAGCCAAAGACCAAAACATAATTTTTTATTATGCTTTATCACCTGGTCTTGATATAACATACAGCAGTTCAAAGGATGTTACAGCCTTAAAACGAAAGCTAGAGCAAGTATCTCAATTTGGATGTAATGCCTTTTCATTGCTATTTGACGACATTGAACCCGAAATGTCTGAAGCTGACAAGGAAATTTTCCAATCATTTGCACAAGCACAAGTGTCAGTTACTAATGAATGTTATCAGCATTTAGGCCAACCTAAGTTTTTACTTTGCCCTACACAGTATTGTTCAACTAGAGCTGTGCCTAATGTTACAAATTCCGAATATTTAAATACTTTAGGATCCAAATTAGCACAAGAAATTAATATTATGTGGACAGGTAGGTATTTTTTTAATATTATTTTTTTGGCATCTGCTATTTTTGGTATGCATATGTCATACTTACTTAACATTTTGATCACCAACTGTTTGACATAGCATTTTCAACAGTTGACTTCATTGTTGACTTACTGTCATAGTGAATATTACCTTACAGTCTTTGAAATATATCTTCTTTTCTCGTGATTAAATATTCTATTTGAGAGTGATTTTAAACAATGGAACGATGAACGAAAATGATGGAACGGCAACTTACTGGAGGCACATTGAAGAACAGACAGAGTCATGTCTATATAAAAAGAAGAAGAATAAGAAGAGAATGATTTTGTCCACTTTTATATGTGATAAGTTGACTTTCTCAATTTAGAAAGAATGTGTGAACCATATCTAATGCTGTTGCTAATTTCAACATATCTTCAGCATCGTTTCTGGTTAAAAGCCCAGTCATCCATCGGTTGCCTTATATCCTCTCTTGGATTGGACTACATGTGCATTAAAGTCATCTATTATCACTCCTCTGATGGAATATCTTGAAGTATAAGTACAAATTTGACATACATTATTCTATTACTTTTTTTACAATTTCAATTATATATTCTTTTTCATTTCTGTATCAGCAATTATACCAGTTTTATTCCTAGTGTTACGTTTCCGTAGATAACCCAATTTATATGCTTCACCTAGTTCTTTCACTTACCGAATGATTACCGGTATAAGCAATCCCCCACTTATGACCAACGGCTGCGGGCGGATGAGTTAATAAGTGGAAGGGCACTCTTTTGTCCAAGGGTTGGGAAACTGGTCCTAAAGGCGGATGAATCGAAAAATATGTCAACGGCGTAAGGATGCAGAAGGCAACGGGGAACCACTGCATTAAAGACTCTTAGAGTACCCCTAGTAAAGTCATGAATGGCAAATGACAAGTAGAGTAAACAAACTTACTGATTATGGAGCACGGAATCCAAGATCCGGCAGGGGAGGAATAACTGTAGATCACAGGGCCTCCCAGGTCGTAAACCAGAGAAATCCCTGTGGACTTAAGACATTGAAAATAGCAACCTGGAATGTCAGAAGTTTATATGCAAGTGGTAACTTAGCGAACGTACTGCTTGAAATGGAAAACCTCCAAATTGATGTTTTAGGTATAAGTGACGTACAGTGGCCAGGTTCAGGCAAACAAATTACAAATAATGGAACCATGTATTATTCAGGTAACAACGAGGTCAATCATCGTTACGGTGTTGCTATCTTAGTTGCAAAAAAGGTCAATTTTTCTGTGATAAGTTTTACTCCTTATTCTGATAGGATCTTATCAATACAACTACAGTCTAAAAAAGGTATAGTAAATTTTATTCAAGTTTATGCTCCTACGGCAGATAAAGATGACGACGATATCGAACTGTTTTACCATGATTTGGAACAAGTCTTAAAATCAATGAAAAAACATCACACTACAATAGTAATGGGCGACTTCAATGCCAAAGTTGGCCAGGGAAGAGTGGATGGATATGTGGGGGAATATGGTCTAGGAAATTGAAATGAACGTGGTGACCGTTTGATACAATTTTGCCAGACGGAAGAATTTGTAATAGCTAATACACTTTTTAAGCTACCAAAAAGAAGGTTGTATTCATGGAAATCTCCCGGTGATACAACGAATAGAATAATCCGAAATCAAATTGACTTTGTCCTTATTAGACAAAGATTTCGTAATTCTATACTGTCTGCCAAAACTTACCCTGGAGCAGACATCGGTTCAGACCATAACCCCATAGTAGTCACATTACGAACCAAATTAAAACTGGTTAAAAAACCCACACAAAGTAGAATTGATATTAAGAGATTAAGGGAACCACAACCAAAGGAACAAACTGTAAAAACTCTTACTGAAAATATACGTAATGCCCAAGAACTGAATAAAAGTAGCTATAACATTGATCAGAAATGGGAAAATATAAAAGCAGCAATAATTAAAACAGCAAATGAAAACTTAAAACCAAAGAATAGAAAACATAAAGATTGGATGACTGAAGAAATACTACTATTAATGAATGAAAGAAAATCATTCAAAACAAAAAATCCAATTAAATATAATGAAACTGATCGATTAATAAAAAAGAGAATAAAAGAAGCTAAGGAGAGAATGTTACATGAGCAGTGCCAAGAACTAGAAGAAATTGAGAAAAAATATGACTTTTTTAACATGCATAAAAGAATTTTACAGGAATACAGGAATGAGAAAAACACTTCAAACTAGACAACTAAGAGATGAAAGAGGTGCACTTATAACAGATATAAACCAAAAAATGCAGAGATGGACACAATATATAGCACAACTTTTTGAAGACAAAGAGAGAACAGAAGCACCAAAAGAATTTAAGGATGATACTGGGCCTGACATTATACGAGAAGAAATTGAATATGCAATGAAACAAGCTAAAGATGGTAAATCTCCCGGGCCTGATGAAGTTCCTATCGAATTACTTAAAATTGTGAATACTGAATCTATTGATCTTCTTTTGGATCTATTCAATACCATATATAGAACAGGTATAATACCTAAAGAATGGCTCCAATCAACATTCATACTGCTTCCCAAAAAAGCCAATGCAAAGGAGTGCAATGAACATCGCACCATAGCCTTAATGAGTCATGTCCTGAAATTGTTTTTAAAAGTAATTCACAATAGAATACATAAGAAATTAGATGAAGGCATAAGTAATACACAAATGGGATTTAGGAAAGGACTGGGAACACGAGATGCACTGTTTGCAATAAGTGTTCTTTCGCAGAGATGCTTAGATATTAATCAGGAAGTATATGCCTGTTTCATTGATTTTGAGAAGGCATTTGACAGAGTGCAACATAATCGACTTAAAGAAATTTTATTAAATAAAAACATAGACAGTAGAGACATTAGAATCATCTGTAACCTCTATTGGAATCAAACAGCAAAAGTGAAAGTTGAAAACGAACTGACCAAGGATATCCAGATTCGCCGTGGGGTCCGCCAAGGGTGTATTTTATCACCCTTGTTATTCAATTTATACAGTGAAGCCATCTCAGAATTAGCGCTTGCCGAGATCAGTGAGGGCCTTATAATAAACGGTGAGCCACTTAATAACATAAGATATGCTGACGACACCGTCCTTTTGCCAGGAACACTAGAAGAACTGCAACACCTTGCTAAACAACTAAATATATATTGCAACGATTATGGACTAAAAATCAATTTGAAGAAAACCAAGTTCATGGTATTTACAAAAGCACAAAACATCAAAGTTAAGCTATAAATAGACAATACAGAAATTGAACAAATATCTTCGTACAAATACCTTGGAGCATGGATCACAGAAGATACTGATCAGACAAAAGAAATAAGATGCCGCATTGAAATTGCGCGGTCAACTTTTAATAGAATGAGAAAACTTTTTTGTAATCGCGATATCAATATATCGCTCCGGATAAGAATGCTTCGATGTTATATTTTCTCTACCCTTTTGTATGGAGTTGAAGCTTGGACACTTAAAAAATCCAACATTAAAAACCTAGAAGCATTCGAAATGTGGTGTTACCGACGCATTTTGAAAATATCATGGATGGATCGCAAAACAAATGAACAAGTTCTCGAACAACTAGGAAAACAATGCGAAGTTTTAAATTCCATAAAGATCAGGAAATTGGAATACTTGGGGCACATCATGAGAGGTGAAAAGTACGAACTACTAAGGAATATAATGCAGGGTAAAATCAAAGGTAGAAGAAGCGTAGGAAGACGTAAAATCTTGTGGCTACGCAATCTCCGTGAGTGGTTTGGATGCAGTTCAATTGAACTATTCAGGCGAGTAACCAATAAAATTATAATTGCCGGAATGATTTCCAATCTCCGATAGGAGTGGAACTTGAAGAGAAGAAGTTCTTTCACGCTTTGTTCTTTTTTCTTTTCCACTTTCCGTCTCTCGAATTCGAGAAATTCATATACTCCTTTTTGAAGCGCACCTACCAACTCCATGCTTTTATCTCTACGACTTGCAAGATTCCAAGACTATTCTGATTTTTCTAACCTGTATGGTGTTCCTCCTGAAATAATCCTCATTTGGAAATCTGAACTGATTTTATCTCAGTAGATGCGATGATTTCAGTACAATTTTTTATTTTGTTATGTTGGAGAAGGCCTTGTTGTTATTTTAATCTGAAAAGATATTCAAATATTTTATGCCTGACTTCCTTTTCTATCAGCATATTGTTCAGTATGATTTGGCAACACAATACCAATATAACCAAAGTACAGTATTACTCTTCACCCGCTGACATTTTTCTGTATAGGCGAGCGTCTCTGCTGTAAGAATTGTAAAAGGAAATAAAAGTTTTTAAACAGTGAATATAAATTGATTGGTGTATTTTAAATGCCATTACAATATTTTTTCTATTCTGTTGACAGAATTACCCACACTGACATCAGTGGCGCACCTAGAATTTGTATGAGAGGGAGGTTTGAATTTTTTTATGCTACCTTCATTTTGAGTCCCTAAAATTTGGGTTTTAGTTTAATTTAAAGTACTAGAGATAGCAGTGCGAAAGACTGAGGTATCTATTATCCTGCCTACCAACTAAAACCACTCTCTCTTACTTGTGCGCATTTGACTGTCGTATGTACCTTACTTCGAAAGTGGGGTGGCCGCTGTAAGGCTGACGACATTTTTTGAATACTCCCTTCTCTTATCTATTGTTCTGAAGCTATTTTCTTGTGGCATTTTAAAGTAATTACTATTTTAATTTGAATAGGCCACAATTGAAGGTTCAAATAAGTTTATTGACGCTTGACATTAATCCAACTTGTAAATACAATAAATTTTGGAGACGGCTATCGCGATATTCCCGTTCTCTTCCGCCAATCCTGCCGGTCCAAGGCATGCTCTTCTTCCAAGGGGTTTCCATTTGTGAAGTTTTTGGCATTCTCAATAGGTGTCCCAAACCATTTTCAACCTCTTCTTTCTGTTCTGTCAATGACCGTTTCTGTAGCATTCATGTTATTTCTTATAGATTCGTTGGTCTTCCTTTCATGCCTTGATGTTCTAGCACTTCTTCTCTCTCAAATAATTCATTGCAACTGCTAACAATCTTCTCTTTATGTCTGCATTAATTGTCCATACTCAGAACTAATTCAACCATGGTTTGCCCTATTCTTTTTTTGTTCCTTTTGGAAATGTTGCGATCCAACCATAAGGAGTTCAGACATTCTAAAATTTTACGTTCCTGATTAATTCGATATTTACTTTCGTTTTCTCCCAAGCCGTTCTTAGCAATGGATGCAACTAAATATTTAAATTTTTCCAATTTTGTGATTTCCACAATCAAACCTGGCATCTGAATTGATAACTACATATTCTGTTTTCTTCATGCTGACTTGTAACCCCCATTTTACATATTTTCTGTATAGACGCTTTATTATAAATTCTAGATCATAAGAATCTTGAGCTAGGACGACTTGGTCATCCGCAAAGTTCAGAGAGAACAGTACTTCATTTTCTATGGGCATTCCCATTCCCTGGCAGAGGTTTTTCCAATTTTGGAGGGCTGCCTCAATATATAAATTAAACAGTAAGGGTGACATACTACATCCTTGTTTTAGTCCTTTAGTTACTTTTATTGGCTCTAATAGTCTATTTCCGATTTTTAGGTAAGTAGGGTTATATAGGGTTATGTATACTTCTGTGATTATTCCTAAAAAGTATGGACTAATGATGGTCTGGTATGAACTGGTCTAACGTCAACTGATATATTTCGAGCTGCTGTGAATAGAATAAAAGATCGGTCAATGTGGTCGCCAACATCTCTAGAAGATAGGCAACTTTAAAAGATGGACTAATGTCTAGTTGTTGTAAAGCTTGCCACAAGTCCTGGAACTTGATCACACGCCTTTTCTAGGTCGATGAAGCCTAGATGTACTTCGCTACCAACCGCTATTCTTTTTTCTATTCATTGTTGGAGTATAAACAAGTTATCAGTGCAATTGCGGCTTATTCCCATTAAAATAGTAATTAGATCTTATCTCTGTCGTTGGTCCTGTTGGTGTTTCTCTTCTTTTTCTTTCTTTTTAATGACTGCTCGGCTGTCATTGTGAACAGTATTCCATCTCTCCGTACTTCCCGTCATCTTCACGATCATATTTCTTATAGTCACAGGGTTCATATCTATTTCTTTATACATTTTGTTTCTCTCCATTGTACATCTATTACACTCCAGCATTGTGTGAGTAACAATGTCGGAATATTCGCAGTATAGGCATTTATCTGTATCTGTCTTTCTGAACCTATGGAGATACGCCCTAAAACAGACAATCCACCCAGTCCCTTAGGCTCTGCATCTTGGTCCATTAGGCAACATATTTCTTGTTGTTCCCCTCTTCTTGCCATCTTTCCATTAATCTTTCCATTTCTTCTTTTTTTATAGCTGTTGTCAAATGCTCTCTTCTCTCATAGAGATATCTTTTTTCTACTGCTAACACATGCATAGGAACACAACCCACGATAGTCCACAAGGCCGCCGCAGATACAGTCTACAGTTCTGTCTACTTTTGTCATAAGCCTAATATTAGGTATCTATATCTAAATATAATGAAATATATTATTAATTATTGTGTATTTATACAATAATTGTTGTGTTCTACATTTTAATTATTCAATTAGCGTTTTGATTTTTTTGTATTGTGTATGAAAGACAAGTTACATTTTCCAACTATTTTTTATATATTTTTACTTTATATGCCCCCTGGGGGTAGGGTTTAACCCCCAACCCCTCCCCCCGGTGTGAGCCACAGTCTGATATATGACTGTTTTATGCTTTCAAACTTGCACAATTTATTTAATTATACATAACCAATTATAAGTCTTTGGTTAATTTTTAGGACAAAAAGTGATATCTAGGATGCTAACTAAAGAAAATATTCAAGAAGTGACAGAAGTTTTACGCAGACCTCCTGTAATTTGGGACAATTTACATGCTAACGACTATGACCAAAAGAGAGTCTTTCTTGGTCCTTATTCTGGCAGGTCACCGGATCTTATTCCAAAGCTACGAGGTGTCCTTACTAATCCTAATTGTGAATATGGGGCCAATTTTGTAGCGATTCATACCTTAGCACAATGGTCTAGATGTAATGTAGATGCTCAAAGAGATCCCTCCATAAGTAAGTATATTGTATAAATCAATGTTTGATCTGTACTTTATAAGATTTAATTAAGAAATGGATTTATTTAGCGTAAGGCATTTCGACACATTTATGAGATTACTATAAAAACAAGTTATATTAAAATTGACGCTATATAAAAAGAAAACTTAATTATATCTAATTGTTTATGTAGTTAATGGGCTCGGGCGTTGCACACAGGAAATGGGACTGCTCTCATATGCCCGCTGATGGCACTCTTCTGTCATGTTCTTGATAGATTGGACCTACAGCTTACCCCACCTGTTCAACATATATAAACATCAATCATGTTGAGTTCTGATGAGTTTAAATGTGCACCAGGTCTTGCGTGATAGGTCAAATCCAAGAGATCTCCATGTGATGCAAGGTATCCTGGTATTTGCTTGAACTTCCACCAGTTGTGGGTTCATTTGATGATCATGTTGAACCTGATTGCTACGGCCTTTCTGCGGTTTCTTGGAAGAAACAGGGTTTCTTAGACAAGTTTAAATAGCTGTAAATGTAAATCGATATATGATTGTACTGTACTGTAGACCTGTATACTTGTGTTTTAAACAGGAAATGGAAATAAATAATTGTACCAGTATAATACCTCTACACAGTAGTTGATTAAAATGCATTATTGTTTATATTATTTTTCTTCATTATGTCCCTTGCTTAGTCTTTCTGACATTGGTAATCATTCTGGCAAAATTTTCTAGATCCTAGACAAGTTGTAAAGAGTTGAGGTTGTTTAGGCATGATGCTTGGCTTCTACTAACTCCCTTTCGTAATGTCTTAATGCACACTAAGTGGTACACACTTGGTCTAAAGCACACTACAACATACATAATTTCTTCTTCTTAGTGACCCTCATCCTTTAAGGACATTGGTGGTCATTACAGTCTATTTTACTCTGTCTATAGCAGTTCTGAAGAGTTCTATTACAGTTTGTCAACTCAACTGCTTTAAAGTTTCAACCAGGACTATCATTGTTTTAGTAGGTATGTGACCAAAGTAGCTGATTCTTTTCCTTCATGGTGTGGAGTATTTCTTTTTTCATGTTTCTTAAGGTTCTTTGTTGTTCTACTAAGGCTACTGTTCCATTGTTCATTTAACTCATATCCCCAGGTATCTGGGTGCTTTCTTTAAAGCCATTCCTTTAAAATAGATTTTTTCATCTTCAATCATGTTCTTACTGACAATCATGATTTTTATTCTTTTTTGTGTTCAGATCCAGAGATTAACTAGGAGTTAAAGTCACTATAATACTGTCTTGTGCCTGGTGTATCTATTTATTTATATTTATCAATAAAAAATTTTGCTTCGGTTAAAATGTGAACTGAATGCTGATTCATAAACACAAAATGTGTTCTCTAAAGTGAATTGAAACCTGTTACTCATTAACATGTATAAAATAGGGTATTTAGATGGAATTAAAATCACAATTGATTGTAATGAAAATTACATTTTACATTTTCAGTATTTTTGTCATCTTTAAATTCCTTCTTGTGGGCATTTATTAATTACTTTTGCTGTTATGTTGTTTCAGTTTATTTCTATATATTAATTAGTCATATATTTGGTCGTTTTAAACAACATTCAATTTTATCGATTATTTTATCATTTTCATTAAAAACTATAGTAGAAATTTTTTTTAGATGACACAGTATCTGCCGATATAAAATTAGAAACTGAGACTGAAGATGGTTTATCTGGTGAAGACGTACCTTCGACTTTATCTCCAAATATGTATCATCCGAGACAAGCATTACGAAATGCAATAAAGGAATGGTTGCCAGAATTCATAAAGCACAAATCAGCTTGGGGCCCAATAGCAAAACCGCAGCCTGCAGTTGCCGGTAATATATTTTTACTATAATAATAAACACGGGTCCTTCAAACGTTTATTTTCTTTTCACGCGATAAATAGTGATACAATCCATAAAATTCGCACTCGAAAATAAATTGTCTAAATATTTCTATTGGTAGTTCTGTTATATTTTTTGTTTTTCACAATTGTAACTTTACACTCTCGGTTAAAAATGCCCTTCTGACAAAGTATTACGAAGTATAACAAACTAATGCTTAGTGAAAATCTTAAAATCGCTTTAACATCTCATTTAAATAAATTGTTAACTTTTCTCAACGCAACCAAATTGTATACCAACCTCTGAACTTTATATTTTTTGGACAACAAAATTGTACACCTAATTACAATTTCTTTATTTTATGTACAACAAAATTGTAAACTTTACACACTGTTTTGTATGTCCCCAGATAATAACTCTTAGTAGCTGATGGAGATTTATTTTTTTAATTAAAACAGTGATTCTATGTTTCTCTGATACTTTTATACAAAGTAGAATCCTAGACTACTATCTATTTTCATGATTGCCAATTACTTTTGACGAAATTCACGCAGAGTTTTCTTTAAATATTTCAAAATAAAATAAATTTCGATTCCATAAACTCGACTCTCAGGTGGCCCTAACTGGATAAATTCTCATCCATTTCGTTGGCAGACTTTAGTAGCAAATAGATTCGCCTGGGCGACATGTTACTTCCTCCAAAAATCTCGCAGTTCTCCTACCCAGAGGAGTGTTGCCACCTCAGCTCATAAACTCTGGTAGATGGTGTCATGGTCCAAATTTCCTTTCCGATATAATCTTGAATTTATTTGCTTTTAATTTTAAATCCACTCCTCCTACAACCGTCCCAGAACAAAAGTCTCTGACTTTCAATGTGCTGATTTCCGAGCTTAGCAAAATTTTCCAAATTAATAGGTAATTTCACACTGTAACTTACGTACTAAGATTTATTTTTAATTGGGAAACGACTATCCACGAAGCGAATTCTGCCTTAGGGCTGATTAGATAAATTCAATCACAAGCCTTTTCAGAGTAGAAACGATCTAACAAATATATTTCTGAAAAACATGTATCCCTAAATCTTTTTATAAGTGAAGGTTTTCTTTGCCTAGCCAGATCTAGCCAAAAGCGTCCTATATTGCTTCCTTTTTGAACACACGTCACGCGAGTCTCCTTTCTAATTTCAATGATCTCAGATGCATTAAAAGAATAATCCATGATTGTAAAATTTGCTTCCGGTTCCAAGCACAATCATGTCCAATTTGCCTAAGGACAGAGTATCTCTCTCCAGACCTTTTGAACATTTGGGTCTTGATTTTGGAGGTCCATTCTTCATCAAAACTTCCAGACTCTGTAAAACACCTGTCACTAAGCGTTACATGTCCATATTTGTGTGCATGGCCACCAAGGCAACGCACATTTAATTGGTATCCTTTCTGTCAACTGAGGCCTTTCTTCTAATCCTAAACAGGTTTATATCCCACAGAGAAACACCCTCTACTATTTACAGTTATAATGGGTTCAATTTCCTTGGAGTTCGAAACCAATTAAATGAAGTACAAGACTTTCTTCAAAAATCTACAGTTTCTGACAAAATAAGAATATTTGCTTCTGAAGCTAATTTCCTATGGAAATTAGTATGGGCTGTTAAATAAACCAATTACCATCCGTACCGTTTGAAGGGCAATGCTCAATTTTACCTTTGAGGAACTGAGCACCGTTATCGCCCGTGTCGAAGCTATACTAAATTTACGTCCCCTATATCCTCTTTTAAATGACCCTACCCATTTTCTAATTGACTGTTAACAATCCTTTTGGAAGTGATGGACTATTGAAAACTTAAACCTTATCCAAACTAGACAGAAATGGCAATATGCTTCCAATAAAAATTGATAAACTGAAACCAAAGAAGGTATTCTTATTAAATTGATTACTGATTTATGTCTTACCTTTATGTCTTACCTTTGAGTGGACTAGTTTGGATTCTCAATCTTTAATAAGAAAAGCCAGGGACAGAAATGATTTTGCTGAGGTTATCGCCAACCTTCATTGAAGACGGCACCCAAAGCGGCACCTTGAAGCTTGAAGACGGCACCTTTTTGTGATTAGTTTCCTTTACAATTAAATTTATTGTGGAAATTCCGAGATTGTCCCACCGGGGGAGTTATAATTTATTAAATATTACACCATTCGAAATATTAAAATACGTTATATTTAACGTTTCAATTTATACGATAATGGTATGATCCAAGAAACTTATGAAGAAATGAGAAATGTTATTAGAGACGTTGATCCCATGTAGGTATAAAACCCAAAATAATGATGTTCTAAGTGCATTTTGGCATTACCATTTCTACTATATATTTATTTGTTCTCTTTTTTTAGTTGTTCCTGTGCCTATTATTCCTTCAATAAATACCTGTATGAGTCTAACTTCTACAAGTACTACAACATCATGTAGTAATACTACCATTGTGAATTCGAATCAGTTACAAGCCTTAGCTGAAGTTTGCAGTACTGTAAGTATTTCAAATAAATATTTTAATAAATTGTAAAAAAAATTTTGAGTCACTTATTTGAAAAGATATACTAAAACCTTTGAAATTAGATACATGCAGAATGTTGCGAACAATATGACGATCGTATTTCCAGTGTTTTTCAATTTGATGAATTTTGCCAAATTTTGTTTTTTTATTTCTCACCCAAATATTTTGCTTCTAATTTGAAAGCAGTAGTCAAAGCCAACAAAAAAGTGAATTTCTAAAATAACTACCGCATAACCATTTATATTTTTTATACCATACTAGCGCACCCGACAGCCTTCGTTCTGTCAAATAGATTTGGAATGTGGCAGTTTATTTCTTTAATTCTCCCGAACTGAACCGTCGCCATGATGATAGGGCGGTGTGTGAGGTTCAGCTCGGGTGACCTAAGTATCTTCCTTTCCACGAACTTTGGCCACCTTTCTGGACCCACTAACAACCCCGACTGGAATGTCTGCCAGAGGGCTTCAAACTAAGAGGGGAACTTAAGGTTCAAACCTGATTGAAAAATAATCTGAAGGGATAGTGAAAACCTAAAGGTGACAAACATTTATAAAGTGGGTGCTTCAATGACAAAACATAGAGATAATTAATTATTCATTGTTATTATTATTAACATAAGGTTAATAACCGATGTAATAAAGAATAATGAAATAAAACGTACATAAGTATTTTCAGTAATCGCTTTATTGTAAATCAAGTGAATCATAATTATTAACAAAAATCTGTTTTATTTTTATTGTAGTGCTTTATGATATAAAATGTTTTTTGTTTGATTACCTGGTGAATATACAAACAAATCTGATGGTTTTCCAACACGGGATCAGGCAACATACAATTCACCATGTGAGAAACATGGGTTTTCTAGATTAATACCACAAACACCTGATGATTGTGCCCTTGGGACTTATTCATGGTGATAGCAAAAGCAAGCCGCACTGGAAACTGTAACTCGTTTAAATTCAAATGGTACGTCGGTCGGAATCATTGGGATGCGTGGTATCAAAACGTCTTCTCCTTTATACTTTCCTTTCAGTATAGTTGCTTTTACCACGATGTTCAATAATTTTTTTATCGCGAACCGTGTGCCGTTGCAAAGATGCGATTGGTTAATATTTCTCAACATTATAACTACCGATCCAACCTTTAATTGAAGATTTTGAGGTGGCAATCCTGGTAAATCTAGCGAGTTTAAAAATTCAGGCGGATAGTTGACGACATCATCTTAGTTAGTAGCCGAATCAACTGATTTATATATCCTCAATTCGCCTGTAATTTGTTCTTGAATTTTGAAATTTACATCTATGTTTTTTGCAGCCAATATAGCCCGTTAGCTCAACCAATCATGGTTTCTGTAATTTTGAGCAACATCTGCAAACACCTTTTGAATAAGTTCATCTTTTGATCAGGTTAACTGGCAAAAACTTTGAGGAAAGTTAATGCAACCAGTCAAGGTGTCTATAGGAAATTTGCCATTACCAATGTCAATGAGTTGTTTAGAGAATATGTCTCTAGATTGGTCATTTTGCAACTCGACACGCATATTCTTGCTTAAGTGTAATACCTTGGCATGTTTCCACAAATTGGAGGCCTTGAGTTCATCAGCTGGTGTTGATCGTGGAATTACTGACTATGTTTGACGAAAATCTCCTGCTAATAAAATCATTGCACCACCAAATGGGTTACGATTGCTCCGTAGATCTTGTAAGGTTCTATCTAAAGCCTCCAAATATTTTTATGTGTCATCGTTCATTCATCAAACAATCAATTCACATTGCTGCAAAACCTTTACCACTGCAGAGTTCTTCGAAATGTTACAGGTTGGAATTTCGATGCTTTGCGTGTTTAATGGTAATTTTAGTGCTGAATGGGTTGTTCGACCACCTTCAAGCAAAGTTGCTGCGATTCCCGACGAAGAGAGTGCAAGTGCAATTTTATTTTGTGAGCGAATTGTTGGTAATATCAATGAAATCAAAAAGTTTTTCCTGTACCACCAGGTGCATGTAAGAAGTAAATCACTCCTGTTTTATCATTTGTTATTTTCATAAGTGTATCAAATTTATACTTCTGTTCATTCAATAGTGGAAGATTTGTTTGAATTAATTCTTTTAAGTGTTGAGATCATACAGTTTTTCTCGGTGCAACTCTTGGTTAAACGCATCGCATTGAACGATTGGACGCGGCCAGGCCTAATTGAAATAATAGTTTGTTTGACATCATCAAGCACATGTCCTCAATTGAAATCAATGCTTCATTGTAAATTTCTTCGCTTATTTGTATATTTGGATTTCCCCTTCTAATCCGTATTTGATACAAAATATCATCACACATATTATCTTTGTACTTGATCCACAATTTATTTGGGTTTAATGGGATGCATATGATTATAGTAAACAATGTTCGTATTTGATGAATTGTGATGATATTACAGCATCATTGAGAGTTTTATCCCAATGAGCGTCATTTTCTAGCAATTACAATCGTTGGTAGGCTTCTCTGTATGATCCACACAAATCACCATCACCAGTTCATAAATGTTAGAATGATGTTGGGCCACGTACAATAAAAACATTCATCATTGCTTGGATGTACTGAATAAATTCGACAAATCGCATCGGTAGAATATACATCTGGGTATCCTGGAACTGGTTTTCCTTGCTTCCGTCGTATAAATCCCCTTGAAGATTGATTCCAAGTATAATATGTTGGCATTTCAGAATATAATAATGTTTGAACAAAAGCATCGTTTTGGCATATCTCAAAAAAACTGGTTAATGTAGTAGATGGTGGCTGAGCAGCTCTTTGTACTGCGTTATGTGCTGTAAAATATACTCTTTGTCCATTTTCTAAATGCACAGTTAAATGAACAACAGTAGGGCGTCTCTTATGAATGGGAAAAGAAAATTTTCGCCAAACTGCTTCATTACTACTAACTGGGCTGTTTTAGGATTTTCCCGGAAATTATTCGAATTGTTCTCGCCGTAAAAACCATCCTTAGACTTCACAGAACATTTAAAAAAAAGAATTGTTAAGATTGGTCCATGCGTTGTTGAGTTAGGCGCTTACCAACACATTTTGCGATTCATTTTTATATTATAGATTGTTTTAAATGATCTCAAAAATGGTCGTTTATCCTTCTTATCTGTGGATAAAATTTGTAAATTTGACAAAGGCCGACCCATTACAATCATTTCTAATCTTTACAGCCCGAATTAAACCCGAAAGTGGACGAAACAACGCCTATGTAGAAAAGATATTCACTGACTAGCCGTGTTACTCGGTTTACTCCTGCGTAAGCGTAAGACAGAGAAACATATCGACGTTTTATTCTTTTTTAAAGGAACATTTGAAGCGCCTCTCGAAATTTCTCTTTGAGGTGCGCAAAATAATTACTTCGGAGAGAATCATAAAAAAAAATCTTTTTTTTTTTAATTTTAAATAGGTCAAAATCACAATTGAGAAATAAGTAATTTAGAATAATAAATAATTTATTATTGTACATTTGAAGAGGTCACCTTGCCTACCCCGATGGACTTTTTTTCGATTAGAATCGAATTAGATCGAATTAGAAAAAACTAAACTTTCCCCAAACATTCCCGTAAAAAATGTAATGGACAATGCGTTATATTCCATTCTATAAAGAGTTCCAAACAATTCTAACAATTAGGAAATAAAGAAAAATTAGGAAATAGAGTACGTTCAAAAGATATCTATTTTGAAGAATATTGCTTAAGCTTTAGTAGCTCAATTTCAATCACAGTATGATGGGCGTATTGTAGATGAAATTGCAACATGAATGTTAAGAAACTATATATGAATGTTGGGTTGTTAAGATTACCTCTATACCACTGCAAACTAAATCAGATAGAGCTGGTAATGAGTGAGGTCAAAATATATGTGATAAGACATAATAGACCAGGGTAATATGGCAAAACTACCCTGTTCGTGACACTCAAAAAGTCAGGGCATTGAAAGGTTTTTTTGATGTATAATACTTATACAAACATATTCTAATCATTTCCGGTGTGAGATGTATTGATGATTTTTTTATAAACAAATTAGTGTGAACAAATGTACTTTTTGAGGTTTTGAGGAAAAGGTTTTGAAGGTTTTTGAAGTAACCATCATTAATAGCATGCAAAAAGCTTCAAAATGGCTACTTGCAAAAATTGATATACCTATTTGTTGTTTAGATAAATGCAAAAACTAGGTAAAACAGTTGTTCTAAGGCTTTGAAATTTTCCTCAAAGTTGGATCTCGTAATGCTTAATATGTGATAAAAATTTCAAAGCGATTCGTTGAATTGTTTAAATTTTATCATAGAAAGCTGTTTTTTGCATTAACATAAGCCGAAAAACAATGCAGTTAGAACAATATGCTAATTTTTTACTAATAAATGAATAGAATAACTTTGTTGTTACTGTTTGAAAATAATTATTTTTGCATATTCTGAAAGCATATATTTTTTTCACGAATTCAAAAAGAAAAATAAATTGCCCTACTCGTAGGCCAATTAAAGCCAAAGTTAGCCAATGATCTAATATTGACTATAATCTAACGGTCTTTGAGTTAAAGTTTATATAATAATACAGTTCTACATTTTAGGTTTCTTGTACTGATAGTCTAGTAAGCCCTGCTCCAGGACCAGTAATGAATTCTCTAGTATCGGAAACCAAAGTAATTTGTAATGACTCGATACCTAATCCTATAACCCCCGTTCCAATTCCAATTCCCATCGATACAGCGGTGTCCAAAACTGTTACCATACTTAGTGGAGCCATAATCAAACCAGAGAAGCCTAAAATTGAACATCAAGAAGCAGAGCATCAAACAGAAGGTCAGTAAATTAAACAATATTTTTATAATATTACTAATACTACGATCTTTTTGTTATATAAATAACTATGTTATATGTTATTTAAATATGTTTGTAAATAACTTAACTTTGGTTTATAATTATTTGTCCTTGGTTTGTTCTTGATTTTATAGCCATTGGATAGGTGGGTTTAAATTGATTGTCTTCAAAATACCTAGTTTAAATTGACAGTCCTTGATTTTTCATATATTTTAATAACTTTCTTTTGGTTTAATAGTCTTGTACACTTGATTTTACTGTCATACAGTGTGTGGGTTTAAATTATTATTTTTGTTTAAGTTTAAGAAGTTAAAGTTTAAGAACCCTTAATGTTGTACCCTTCTTTGCATCCGTAGGGCATTTGGATTTTAATAACTTTACTAATAGGTTTAATATATCTCCCATTGGTTTAATATATCGCTTAAAATAATTATTGAGAAAATGGTTCTCTTACATGAGGCATAAATCAAAATCACTCTCAAGACCCATGACCCTCCACCTCGACAAAAATTTCTGGATCCGCCACTGGCATAACAAAAATAAACTTCGAGAAAGGCACTCTGCCGAAACAACTGTAGTGGTAATATATTATGATAGATGTTTTGTAAGTATTGAAATTTTCAGTGTTTTACTGTTAGATTTAGAAAGATATTCCTTACAAGAATGAATGTTATAATCGACAGGCAATATTTGATACCCATTACCAGTTACCAAGCAAGAACACGGAACAATAGAGCAAGTACATAGGGTTGAAAAAGTAGCAAGAGATGGAGTTGAAAAGAAAAAACTACAGCCTTCTTAAATATTTGGCAAGCATTTGATAAGATCTGGCATGATGGTTTGCTAACTGAAATAAAGACCCATTTTCCTCACTTTCAATATAATACTTCTAAGATCCTATTTCTCCGATCGACACTTTCAGGTCAGATACAATAAAGTTGTTTCAAAAATAACTGCAATTTTATTGGAAGTACCAGAAATATACTTAGGACAAAAAATAATACTAAATAGGGAAATTCAAACTGAAGAAATAAAAAGAAGAAGAAAGTTAGCTTGGGCAGCATTCGGTAAACTGAACTATATACTCAGAAATCAACAAATTCAATTACATCTTAGATCTAAAGTTTTTGATGCATGCATTATTCCGATATTAACTTATGCGGCACAGAAATGGACAATCACAAAAAAACATATGAATATACTTACGCTGGACATGTAGCTAGGAGCGATCTAAACAAATGGCACAGATCAATTTTAACCTGGAGACCATACCAACACAAAAGACCCAGAGGCAGACCTCCTATGAGATGGACAGATGATCTGAAAAGGACTGCCAGGAAAAATTGGCTACAAGTAGCGTACAATAAAAAACAATGGAAAGGAAGACTTGAAGAGGCTTATGTTCAGATGTGGACGTGAATGGCTAGACGAAGAAGAAGAAGAAGACCAGAATACTATACTGGGACCAACTTTATACTTATCTGCACGACAGATATACCCACAAAAGCAACTCATACAATTGTTACTTGTGTAGGTGAAACTGTAATATATATATATATATATATATATATATATATATATATATATATATATATATATATATATATATATATATATATATACATTCGGTTTTATAACGTCTTACGACGTTGTCCGACTCCAAACCGCCACTGTATTCGGTCTTGAGTTAGGTCTTCGTCCAGATTTCGAGCGCTAATCGCTTTCCTAACTCCCAGGTTCCAGCTCTGTGGTGGTCTTCCTCGTTTCCTCTTCTCTGGGGGTTGCCACATTATCGTTTTTTTTAGGCAATCTTTCGTCCCCCATTCGGCTCACATGTCCATACCATATGAGCTGTTTTCTCTCAATATCCTCAACTATAGTGCCCTCTATACCCATTTGTTGTTTTATCACTTCATTCCGTATTCTGTCGGCTCTTGATATTCTCATCGATCTTCTGATGGCATCCATTTCCGTGGCTTCGACCTTTTTCTTATATTTCTCGGTTATTCTCCATGTCTCAGCTCCATAAAGTAGGCTAGTTTTAACCATTGTCTCATAGATGTTCCATTTTTTTTTTCTTTGATATTTCTTTACTTCATAGAACTCCGTTCAAACATGCTATAGCTCTTCGTGCTTGTACAATTCGATGTTCTATTTCTCGTTCGTCTTTTCCACTACGGTCGAAGATGACGCCCAGGTATTTATATTCGTCACATGGATTTACTTTTTGATTGTCATCGATATCGAGTTGTTCTGCTTCAGCTCCAATTGAGAGGTATTGAGAGGAGAAACTGTAATATTGGATCATAAAATATAAATGAATAAATTCAAGTACGCACAATTTCCTGACGCACGCCCTTGTTATAAAAGTCTTCCAACCGAGATAACAGTCTTCCAGCTAAGTTATAGTAAATTCTTCCGCGTATAATGACTACTAAATGATAAAATCATGATTTGTGAGTGCTCCTCGTAACGTTCATAATGTATTGGTTTGTTTATTCCTAGTGCATCTGTCTTGTATTTAGTGTAAGTTTGGATTTAAGAATACTCTTCAAGCTTCATCATCCAAGCCGTATGAGCCAAAAAGCAAAAAAAAAATAAATCGAAATAGAAAAGTTGCAGTGTTTATAATATTAGATCCAGTAAGCATAAACTCAAAATGTTTTGCTGTTAAATTGCGTTTTTATTACAAAAGAGCTTGGAGTTTCTTCGAATTTTAATGGCGTTATAAAGTTTGAACTGTATGTTTAGCAATGTGCACTAATTGTTTTTAACTGATTTTTAGTAACGAATATAATAAAGGATGCCAAAGAGGAGAGTACTATGAATACCGACACGAGTTTAAGTAACGAATCTAGTTTAAGTCCTTCAGAACCGATGGATTGCAATAGTACACCGAACATATCACCAGCTCATGGTAACAAATGTACGAATGGATCCAACGAAGATGTGGCCATGAGTGAAAATTCGGTAAATTAGATTTACACAATTTTAAAAAGAAATTTATTTTAATTACAATTTTTCTTGTTTTAGACATCTAGTGGAAGTATGCAAGTAGATCCTAATCAAATGATAATAGAAAATAATGCGGAGAATGAAAGGTAAACAACAGTTGTATACTTCATCTAATTTACATACCGATGCACGTCATTATCTACGTCAGAGATCGAAGTTGACATAGTTGCCAAAGTATAAAAAAATCCTGACTCCATTTTAAATCAATTAGATTACAAAATTATTGCAAAAGTATTACCATCTCTTTACAACGACGATTTAAATTCTTACGTGACATTTTTTAAATAAAACACACTAATTTTGTTCTAAAAAGAACAGATTTTATTAAATAGGTAAAAATATAAAACAAGAGGTATTCACTTTAAAATTCAAAATAATAAAGTATAAAAAGTGTCAACACTGCAACTGTCAAATAAGTGTTACGAATTTATGCCAAATTTAACCTTCGTTCGATTACAGTTACAAGTGTGTTACGAACAAAAATGTTCTTCATAAAAACGATTTATAATGCATTTATACAAATTAAATGAAACATATTATTGTCTATTTCTTTTAGTTAACATTAATAGAAATTTTTGAATATTATTTCTACGCGTATATAATAAAATATGTCTAGTGGCTGTAATGTCAGTGTACTCAGCAAAGTGATTGTTAAAAAGAACACACCTGCCGCCTAAATATTTCGTGTTGGTATCATGTGACGTCGCGGGCTATGACGCCCATGACGTGCATCGGTAAGTAAATTAGATGAAGTGTATATACTTATCTTATATTAGTTAAAATAAATGTTCGATCAGATCAATTTATTTCATAGATGATGTGAATTTTGGGAAATTTTCTTTACCATTCTGTAGAATTATCTTTTACGATCAATATGACAGACCAGAGCGATTTGTCAATTCATATATTTTTAACAGTGGATCAAGAGGAGCATTTCGTGCAATTTTTGTAAACAATGTACAGAAAGTAAACGTCTGTGCTAAAGTTTTTTTTAATTGAATGTTTTTCTGTTGTCTATCACAAAACTAAATGATGATTTTTATTAATTTTCAGCAAAGAAATATCTTTAACTTGCGACGACTTAGCCTTGTTATGTGACTTATTCTATTTACCTTTTGAACACGGAGGACAAGGATTGCAATTATTACAGGAATTTAACTGGTTAAAATCAAATGCCCATTTAGTGATAATCGCCAATCAAAGGGAGGATAAATCTAGTCCAGAGGTAAGTTGGTATATATTTTATAATATGTTTCCTTTTTGTTTTCGTCTAGAATTGGCGATTGACAATAGTTTTATTTTATTTACGTACTGTTACTATTGCTACCAACTTCTTGTGAATGTGAAGCTTGAATGGAGGCGTGTGTTATTTCCGCTCCTTCAGAAAATGACTTTTGTAGTAGTTAAGTATTAATTATTATTAAGTTTGATATCAAATTGAAGAAAACAAGCTATGATGTATGTATAGTTGTATTAATTAACTATAAAAGTTACATCTATCATATATGTATTTTAAAGGTACGATATTTTTTATGAAGAAATTAGTTAAATGCAAAATAATCAATTAATTTAAAAATTTTAATATTGTACGGTATTCTCTCTCTCTCTCTCTCTCTCATCACACTGGCTTCATTGTAACACTGTCCTACAAGCTTATGTTGGCATTTCAAAGGCTCTAAAACTGTCGCATCCATAAAAGGCAACTCTTGTTTGTTGAGTTACATAACTGCGTCAATAACTCTCCGCAAACAAATCCTGTTTAGTCCAGCATTTTCAATAAAATTTTAATTCTAATCTACCGTTTTCTTTTAAATCATCGGCAATCGTATTTTGGTTTTGTTCGAACTTTCTGAACATTAATTGGTTTTTTAATGCTCTCCAGAATCTGCGTGCTTATGCAACAATCTATTAATATTTAAAAAATCCATAAAACCTCACTCTATTTCACACATGTTTATTTAAAAAAAGTAAAACGGACAGCAATCTAACTTTTGCTACAACATAGTCAAATGAATTCTGTAAATTAAGAAGACTTAAAATTAGTGTTATAGGACTTCATTTTTTAATCTTATGTTTAAAATACTGGTTGGTCGACCATATAAGAGAACATCCCTTTTACCTTAATTATTCCAATGCCTACACGGAGTCTCAAATATATTACACACCAAATCATTACTTGGATTCATTTATGTCTAAAATTATTTTTATCAACTAACTTTTTTTGAATGAAATGAGGTTGAATGCTCGAATAAATGAACTTTGAAATAAGGCTATTATCGAGGACAAGTTAATTAAATCTAGCCCAAGTACTTTCGCTTAAAATAGCATCTTCAGGGGCATTTCGTCAAAATGTAAACTATCCGGCAAGCGTAGAATGTGGAAACATTAAAAATAACATAAAATTGTACAAAACACTACACTAAAACGAGGACAAACAGTTTAAAATTACTTAAAGATTCTACGCTACATTCTCTGTCAGTATCTGGAGGGATAATGCATTATCCCTCCAGATACTGACAGATAATCATAATAATAATATATAATATATATATAATAATAATAATAATATTGTAAATGCTTCTTTCGCTAACAGTAGTCATCAACGAAGAACACCTTACAGCAGCACTCACATTAAGTTATAAAAAATACAACATTCAACACTAAAGTTTAGCGCAACCATTTGTTTTTTGTTTCTAAAGTATATTTTCGTTCCAGGTTCAAGAATGGTTTACCAGAGCCGAAAAAATGAATGAGATATCTCAGGCGATGAACAGATTATTTGAACATATGTCCACTTGTAATAATAGAGAGCTCCTTTATGATCTTTATTCATATATTTGGGATATGAGAGCTGTGGTATCATTACTCAATTCGTACGTCAAATGGCTTGGTAAGTGATCCAAAGAAATAATTCAAATGGTACTCTTCCCTCCATCAAATATTAGAAAAAATGTAATTCAGTTAGTGGTGACTAGGTAAATGTACAGCCATGCTTTTACATTCAAACGAAGCAAGTTATATATAATACTATAGTTAAATAGTAGAAGTAGAGACCTTTAACAAATACCAAATTAAAAACAATTTTTCTTGTTCTTTTGTGGATTTGGATTGAACAAATATCGATTTGATTGTCCAATGAGTCCCAATTTTTGATTGTACTGTTCTAACCCCTTTCTGAAATACCGCTATATATTGTCGTGTATCATTTTGCCAGAAAAGTAACTCCATTAACATGATTATGACTAAGCCGCAACAATTTTCACAAGAAAAATTAAAAACGTCAAAAACTCAAGCATGTGTTATCTCCAAATGTCTTAAAAATTATATATATATATATATATATATATATATATATATATATATATATATATATTTATATATATATTTATATATATATATATATATATATATATATATATATATATATATATATATATACATCCTACTATCATTTTAGCATCGATACATTATGCTTTTACCATCAATTTAGCATCGTCTTGCAAAGTAGCATCTGTATATCGACGCTACTTTACAAGACCTTAATAACTTTTTTCCTGTACTTGTTACAAGAATTTTAACCATCTCAATGATTAGAGATTTGATACCGTGTTGGTATTTTAAAATGTCCGCTTTCTCTTTTTATCCCTTACTGAGTTATATAAGTTTATTCCAGGAAATGTTTGAGTCTAAAATGATGGTACAGTGAAAATATTATATATATTTAGTTCAGGGTTTTACCGTTTACTCGCTGCCATTATATACATGAAAATGTATATCGCACTTTCATTATCAATCATTTTGGCATCAGAAATTTGGCATCGCTGTTGAATATAATATTACCCACAACGAAATGGTAAATTTAAGAATTTATATATATTTTTTTCATCCATAAATCATTCTAGCATCTTGTTTGATTAAAAATAACGGGTTATATATTGGGTATATATAACGGGGTATATATTGCATATTTTTGCTCCAATTGGTCCAGTCGTGATGTACAGCACCTCAAATGATAGGATTTAACCAATAAAATACAATAAGACAGAAAAGCAGCATGTCAAAAAGGCCTTAGTTATATACCTTCGTTTCTATAAGTCCAATCGTGACGTACAGTATCTCAAATGATAGGATTTAACCAATCGAAAACAATGAAATAGAAAAATCAAATACAGCAACATGTCAAAAGGGCCGTAGTCACGTATTTTTGATCCTATTAGTCCAATCGTGACGTATAGTACCTCTAATGATAAGATTTACCGTAAGGAATACAATGGGATAGAAAAATGAAATACAGCACAATGTCAAAAGGGCCTTAGTTGTGTATCTTCGGTTCTGTTAGTCCAATCATGACGTGCAGTACCTCAAATGAAAGGATTTAACAAATAAAATACAATGAGATACAATGAGGTAATGGAGTTGCATGTCAAAAGGGCCTTAGTTATGTACCTTTGGTCCTATTAGGCCAATAGTGACGTACGATATCTCAAATGATAGCACTTAACCAATCTTCTTCTTACGGTGCCTTATCCTTAAGGACGTTGGCCATTACATTTGCCCATTTAATCTTATTTGTAGCAGTTCTGAATAGTTCTATGGAGGTCATGTTCGTCCATTGCCGTAAGTTTTTAGAAAGAGTTGCAAGAGTTTTTTTGCAAGAGTTGCGAGAGTTTTTTTGCAAGAGTTGCGTCTTCTTCCTGGTCCTCTTTTGCTATTGACTTTGCCTTCGATTATAAGTTGGAGCAGTTCATACTTTTGACTTCTTATGATGTGACCAAAATATTGTGTTTTCCGTTCTTTTATTATAAGCATAAGCTCTCTTTCCTTATTCATTCTCCGCAAGACTTCCGCATTCGTCGTATGGCTCATGTAGGATATTCTGAGCATTTTACGGTAACACCAGAGTTCGAATGCTTGGATTCTTTTTTGTGTTGCTTCTGTCATTGTCCAGGCTTCAACACCATAGAGCAGGGTGGAGAAAACATAGCACTTAAGTATTCTAGTTCTCAATGAGATGCCCAGCTGGCGGATGATAGAACTTTTTGCATTTTGTAAAACATTGTACGTGCCTTTTTCAGGCGTATTCTTATCTCTAGTGAGTGGTCCCAAGTTTCATCAAGATTACTTCCAAGGTACGTTGTTCTTGTTACTCTATCCAGATCTGTTCCGTCGACATTGACCTTCACCCTTCTGTTTTGGTGCTTGCTGATGATCGTCGTTTTTGTCTTCTTTGTATTCAATTTCATTCCAAATTCTCTACAGGCTGTCATTACTCGGTCCATTAAGCGTTGCAGGGCTTCAGCATTATTTGCCAGTATGACAGTGTCATCAGCATATCGCAGGTTATTTATACATTGCCCGTTTATAATTATACCATCCGAGGTGCCTTCCAAAGCTTTCTGAAATATCTTCTCAGAGTAAACATTGAACAGCAAAGGTGATAGGACACATCCCTGTCTTACTCCCTTCTCGATATTGATTTTTCCAGATGTTTCGCTTGTTATTCTGATTTTAGCCTTTTGTTCTTGGTAAAGGTTTGAAATGATCCTTAAGTCTTTATCGTCGATATTACATGACCTTAAAATATCTATTAGTTTATAATGTTTCACCAGGTCAAACGCCTTCTGAAAGTATATAAAACACAAGTATACATCAGAATCGACATCTCTACATCTTTCAACTAGCACACGTATTGAAAAAAGTGCTTCTCTTGTTCCGTACCCATTCTTAAAACCAAACTGAGTTTGACCAGTGTGTTAGTCTAGTTTATTGTATACTCTATTGTGTATTACTCGTAGGAAAAGTTTCAATATATGATTCATCAGGCTAATAATCCTATGGTCTTCACATTTCTTGGCGTTTTTCTTCTTTGGTAGTGGTATAAACACCGATGTCAGCCAATCATTTGGTATTATGCCTGTTTCGTATATTTTGTTAAATATATCTTCCATTACTTCGATGTGTTCGTCTAGTAATATCTTTATTATTTCAATTGGGATATTATCTTCCCCAACAGCTTTTCCGTTCTTTATCTGATTTGCCGCTTTGATAATTTCTTGCTTTGTGATATAAGGTCCAGTCGATGCCTCCTGCATGTAAATGTTCGTCCTCTCTCGGTCTTGAAACATCTCTTCCACGTATTCTCTCCATCTACCTATTTAATCTTCTCTGTTCAGTAGCGGGTTCCCATGTTTATCTTCGATGAAAGACGTAGGAGTTTGTTTAAATATTCCAGCGGCTTCTTTTACTTTTTTATGTAGATTGAAAGTATCATGTCTTTGTTCCAACTCTTCAATTTCTTGGCATCTTTCACTTAGCCAGGTTTCTTTGGCTTGTTGGATCTTTATTCTGATATTCTTGTGTATTTGCTTGTATGTTGTTTCATTTTTACCTCTGTATTTTCTTCTTTCGTCCATCATGTTTAGAATTTCTTCTGTCATCCATGGTTTGTTACTCTTGTAAGTGTTTTCTCAATATAGTGCCAGTCTTCCTCGGGAGTTTGTGTCGATTGTACTGTTCTGTTACTCAAGTGTCTATGTATTTCTTCCCGTATTTTATTACTAGTGGATTCTTCTTTAAGCTTATCTGGGTTAATAGCTATTATTTGCTTATTTCTTTTTGTTCTTTTAAATTCTATCCTAATTGTTGTAAGAAGAAGATTGTGGTCGGTGGGGATGTCCCTAGTATTTTTAAAATATACCAATTAGATAATAATAATCAAACAATAGAACACTGAAAACTTTTGTTTTTAACTGTCCGCCCGTGAATGACTTGCCATTTTTTAAATAACACTTCATATTGCACTTTTTTATTGTATTTTTCTCATTTTTTAAGATAATTCTTGTAGGAATATATTTATTTATAACATACGGTCTTATGGTCTCACGACAAGTATTACGGCTTGATTATACAACCTAAATATATCTTGTACCGCACTGTTAATTGAGAATTATGTTTGTAATGCGATAAGAGGACCGTATATACGAGACACCAGTGACTTATGCCACACATAAAACTTCGACAGGAAATTCTATTTCTACATTTCTATAAAAAAAATAGATTACTTGTTTTGTGTAATAATTTAGTTTAGGTCGAACAAGAGTTGCAGTAAAAATTTTTTCTGAAATAGAATTTAAATCATATTTCGAATGCTTTGTGAAAGATAACCAATTTATAATATTCCCGACAACGTAAAAACACATTTCTTTTAGAATATGGGTCGATGAATTCAAATCATAGTTCAAGAAACGAATTTATGTGCAGATGTTCTATTACAAAAAATTCAAAACCAAAATCTAGATTAAAAAAGTCGCAACTACTTATATACTGAAACTTCACCCCATTATTGATTTCACAAGTGATAAAAAGGGTCGACAAAGAACCAGTTTTAATTATTACAACATTTAAACATAATAGTTGTATCTTGGTTTATTCAGGTGGAAAGAAAAATTAGACACAAGTGCTAAAACCACAAACTATTCTAAATTATAACGTTGTGAAAAAAGAGTTGATTTTAGCGATCAAATGGCTTTTTACAAAAGCCCAATACGCAAAATACTAAAGTGGTACCGGAAAGTGGCAGTGGAATTAATATTTAATACCGCAGTAGTCAATACTTAGTTGCTAAATAATAGAAAACGCGAAAAAAGCGACAACCTATCCTTGAGTTCAGACTGGAATTAGCGAAGGCGTTTGCAAATAAAGAAATGTTGAAACCCTAATGACTAATTACACCCAAAAAATACCATCTCAGGCAAAGCGATGTAGATAATAAAAAGAGAAGGAAGTGTACAAGAGGTTACAAAATTTTAAGAATAAGCGTGACTAGTAGAAAGGCCGATAGAAAAATTAAAAAAATTAAAACATACTGTGAAGAATGTGATAGCAAAACTG